TCTTCCTCATCATAATAAACCTCTTCCTCCCCCTTATCATCATATCCCTCATTATCATAAACCTCCTCCTCCTCCTTCTCATCTTCATCATCCTCCTCCTCCTCATCTTCATCATCCTCATCATCGTCGTCATCATCGTCATCATCGTCATCATCGTCATCATTATCATCATCGTCATCATCATCGTCATCATCGTCATCATCATCATTATCATTATCATTTTCTTCTTCTTTCCCCTCATCATAAGCCTCCTCCTCCTCCTCATAATCATCATCCTCCTCATAATCACCATTCTCCTCCTCCTCCTTTTTATAATCATAATCATAATCATAATCATAATCATCATCATCATCATCATCATCATCATCATCATCATCATCCTTCATATCTTTATATTCCTTATTCTTCTCATTTTCATTCTCATCTTCGATATTTTTTTCTACCTTATTTTCAACTTCCTCATTTCCTTCCTTATTTTTTTTACTGTCTTGTTTGAATAAATTAATTATTTCATCAAATTTTTTATTTTTCTCTTTCTCATTTTTTTTACTTTCTTGTTTGAATAAATTGATTATTTTATCAAATTTTTTATCCAACTCGCTAACCTTTCTAGCATCATTGTTTTCATATCCGACAATTTTCTTAATAGTATCAGACAAATGCGGCCGTGATATTTCTTCAACTTCATTATTTTCCATTTGCTTAACATATTTTTTAAGTTCACCAATGGGTGCCTTGTAATATCTGTAAAAAAGTTCTCTAATTAGAAACTGGTTGAATCAATTTTTAAAGTAAATTGCATAAATATATAAACATATTTATATATAGAACAATTACAAAAATTCCGGAAACCAATTTTTCCTTCTTCTTTGGTGGGGAAGCATCCAAAAAAATTCAATTTCCGCCAACATCTACATGTAATAATTATCGTTATCATCGTGATTATTATTGAATTATACACAAAGAAAAAGTAATATACCTCTCCCCTTAGTTGCAAGAAAGGTTCTTCATTATTTCTTTTATTGATTGCCATGTTAAGTAGACCAATGAATAAATTCAACAAGTATATTGTAAAAAAAGAAAATAAGACCAATAGAATCACCAATGTCGGATTTTGATTCAAGGTCCATGATGATACTGAACTTCTGTCTCCTGTAATGCAAGAAAAAAAAACATTATTAACATTAATTTACATAATATCTTATATAATTATTTACCTGCTAAAATAAAATATACCGCCAATATAGCGGTATCAAATGAAACAAATAAGTTTGTATTTTCATCAGGATTTGTAATAAGAGATTGTTGACCAATGATGTTATCAGAAGAAATAGAACGATATCTTGTAGCAAGATTCCAAGGATTATTTGGGTCATCGTTATAGCTTGGTTGATCGTAAGAATAATCGTCGGTAGGTCTCAATAAAAGATTTAAAGAATGAGAAAATGCCAAAACGATAATACCCAGAACAACAAGAAAAGAAAAGATTTTTTGTGCAACTCCAATCATAATTGCAAAATATGTTCCAAAGTAATCCATCACACGAAAATAAAATAAAAATTTGAGCTCAAGCACCAATGTTGATATAACGATAATCCATAATAACGATCTTTCATCAAATAGCCATACAAATGAAGTTATTGTTGGGGATAATAAAGCGGCGATGTCTACAAATTACATTAAATCAGAACGTATGGTAAATGTTAAATTATACAAGGAATAACAATTATACAAACCAAACCAGTTCCAAGGACTTGTGACATAGTATTTTGGATTGTGAATAAATTGTCGAATTTCAAATGTAAACTGAAACAATTCAAGAATAATTGTTGTCACCAAAAGAGCATCCTGATTTTTTGGTGAAAATTTGCTTTGCGGAACTGTGACAGCTACGGAAAAACATAGCAAAAATATCGAGTATATTGCCCACATTAAATAATAATAATATTTCCCATACGTGCTCCGCTTAAAATTGACAAGAGCTTTGATGTTCCACCATTTATAGAACTCTGGAGAATCTAATGAGGTAAAAGAGTTGCCGCGTAAATAAATCAATTCTTTACAAATAGAATAATTTTCTTTCGGGTAAGTGGAAAATTTGACAAAGGCATCATCAACCAAACGGTTTTTTTAGGGTATGAGGTAAAATAAGACGAATAGACAGAATATGAAAAATTTAAAGTTTTATAAATTTGAGGGTAATTTTTTTCCAAAAATCCACATTTATCTTGAAGTCCAACGATCGAAAAGTGATATTTCAGATAAAGATGTGGTGTTACATAAGTTTCGTAATGGTTAGATTGTATAGATAAGTTGACATAATAAGGAACATAGGAATCAAGAATCAATAATGCTAATTCTAGAAGCATAAAAGTAATGGGATCTAATGATTTAATAAACTCGGAAATAGGATTGCCTTTCCAAAACATATTTAAACTACGATTAAGAATGTCTTCAAATAGTCTTAAATCTTCAATTTTAAAATGAGATCTAGCAAGTGAATCAATAAATTTTAAGTTGGACTTTCCTTTCATGAATTTCCACAAGAAAACTGAACGATCTTCTTCACTCGTAGTTGCGGAATATTTCATGTTTGGTGAGCAGGCAATGTTATCTGTTAAATATCCATTGTGCGGAATTTTCCTTTCTCTGTTATATGATAAAATTTTTTCTTCGTCATCATTCGGAATTTCAGTTTTTCCTTCATCAATTGAAATTCGGCAATCCTCATAATTTGATATACTCATTTTCTTTAGAATACTGAATTGATGTTTGGTTTATCGAACTACTTATATTAATGACGTGTACTCCTAAAATTGGTATGTCTCTATACATATTCTACACAAGCACAAGCACAAGCACAATAAGCTAAACCATGCATCAATTTCCAATTATATTCCTTGTGATACTTTGCAGCAGGCGCACCTAAAGATGTGCACCACTGTATATTGTCACATGGCAAAGAATCAAAATTTTCCTTATACAGTAGAATTGGGCAATTATCTTTGAAGGTGACAAAAATGCTGAATATAATTTTTTGACTCCTACCTTTAACAATACGTATAATCTATAATGTAAATTTAGAATCACAATTACGAGATACAAAAAATCCCTGTCCATCTTCGAAAATAATTATCCAATTGCATTCTTTGTCTCATGTTAATTTTAACATACAAATAGTTAAAAAAAAATAAACCCATTAAAGTCTATGGTTAATTGTCTATGGTTAGTTTATTAAAAAGCTTAATACTCTAATAGAAAGAATAGTTTGAAAAATAAACTAGAAAAAATTGCTACACAATTACATTGGTTTTGAAAACAAATAAAAAACAAAATAAAAATATAGTACTTTTATAGGAACTTTTATTTATCATTGTCTTGATGATAATACTAATCATATTATATCCTGATATATGACTTCCAAAAAATGAGTTTCTTTAGTTTATAACACAATATCTCAACAATAACTCATGATTCGGTTTCATTTGGATAAATCAATATTTAACCTTAAAAAATCCCTGCCGAAAGTCTATTTTTAGCCTCTCCGTGATGCTAACAAAGGTACTCTAAAAAATCATCCGGAACTCTCTTCTTTGCTATACTTCTTCATACATACTTGACAGGTAACTTATGTGTAAAAAGTACTAAATTTTCCATAAAATCATCTTCACTATTTACACTGCGCCACATCTATGTTCGTAATGTCTATTGGCGGTAGTTGTATCTCAAATGCACTTAAAACTGGTAGTAATATTCATTATATAACACAAGTTAATAACAAAAAGATCTTTTTCGATCGTAAACGAGAACTTAATATGTTTAACAATGCATTTAGTGATGATCCGGAGCTTCATGTCATTCTAAGTCCTAGTTCTAGAAAACCTGCCTTGGTTCGTGAGGTGGTAACAAATAATGACAATTTCAAATCCCTTTTTCTGAACTATCGTTCGGGACAGTTTAATTCTTCAAAGAATTTATACAATTCTATTTCCATGCAATTCAAACCAAGAAACGAAAGGAACTCCTGAAAAAATCATTGCCAAAAATAGATCTTGAGGCCAGGCTTCCTTATTTTTTCAACTTAGACTTTAATCTATTTGATAATAAAGAAAAAAAAAATTACTTCTAGTGACATTTGTGAGTTACTTATTGAAATTCTTGTGTTCTTCCGAAATGGCACATTTGGAAGGGTGACTATGCACCTCCACCCATTTTAATTGTTGATGAAGCCAACTTGATTAGTCAACTTGGAGACAGTTCGAAGGAAAGAGAAATCCTTCTAAAATCATTTCTTAACTGGCTTATGATAAATACAAAACAAGAAAACCGCTTCCATGCTGTGCTTACCCCTTCTGATTTATTTTTTTTTTTCGAACTGGATTGTAAATCGTAAGTCCATATTATATTCATGTTTGGTAACAATGTAGTCTAGCTTTGCATATCCCACATGCAACTCCATATGTTGTTGGAGATTTGAGCAAGGAAGAAGCCAATGAATATTTTGAAAAGTATGTTCTTCCTCGATATGGTACGGTCTTTACTGACCGAATCTGTTTATACTTACTGTAGCTCATATAACGGTATTTGTTATTTAAAAAAGAATGCAGAATAACGGGCACACGTATGCTGATTATTGATAGATATGTTAAAGAATATAAAATTTTAGAGGGAAAGCTCGCAGGTACTGTACATACCAGATTTATTTCCTTTAAAAGATGATATATCTATTGACCCAAACTTGTTGTTATAGATAGAGAATTTTCGGTTTTCAGGTTAAAATATGGCAAGTTACGTTCCGGTCTTGTTCCTGCTCGCTCTCCGGATAAGCCTCATGATCCACTTTGGAATCTGGGTGAGTTAATCAAAGTTATGAAAGCTGTTGTTAAGGCTGAGAATAAAGGGTTTGTTCTAGAAGCGAATTTAGAAAGAGAAATTAGTCGTGAAAATATTTTATTCACTTGTTGATTATAATTTTTTACACCGTCAACCAACCAATAACTTCGCCGACCCACCAGAGGAAGTAATTTGGACTGCGATGAACAAACATCATTACGCGTGATGGAGTACCTCTTAGATGACCTGAATGAAGCTTCGTAGAGAAAATAATAACTGTTATATACAGAGTTCTGTAGTTAAATTTTTACGATTTTGCACTACGCTAGAAAGGGAAAAAACTTCAGAAAAAACAATTTCAGTAAAGCACGAAAAACAAATTTGCAAGAGAACCAAAAGAAATTAAAGAAAAAACCATTTATTATAATAGCTCAAAAATATCTTAAAAGAGAGAACAATTTTTATATTAAGGGTATTATAAATTAAAAATTAAATTAAAAAAAAACCAAAAATGAAAGGTAGCCAAGATTTGGTAAAATGAATTGTAATGATAAACCGCGAGACAATGATGGCAACTTTTTATGTTAAAACCAAAAACAAGAGAAAATAACTTTGTTTATCTCCAAAATAATATATAGAAATATTATTATCATAGCTAAAAATTCATGTATAGATTATATATAAGTTTTCTGTATTGAAATATACTTTTTAATTGCAAATAAGCATTAAATACAAGGCTTTTATTAAGTAACTAGCTCATTAACCCAGACTATGCTCCGGGATTAAAATATTAAAATATATATTACATATAAATATATTATATTAAATTAATTAAATTTTATTAAATTATATTAAACATGTTGGATTATTTTATATATTTTAATAATATTTTAATAGTAAATTAAAGTAATTTATTTAAATCAAATTGTTTATGGTTTTTAATTTAAATTTAAACTATTTTAATTAAGTTAATTAAGCTTTTATTTAAATTAAACTATATATATTATAATTAATTTAAATAAAACTAGATATATTTTTAATTAAATTGGACTATAATAACATAATTATTAAACTATATATTTTAATTACTTTAAAGTAGACTATATATTTTAATCATTATAATTTATGATATAATCAATTTGATTAATTTATTTGATAATATAATTTATTTAACAATACAATTTAAAAAAAATCCTGGAAAAAAACTATTTGAAAAATAAAAAAAATTAAAACATAAAATTAAATTGAAAAAACTAATACCAAATGAAAAAAATTAAAACCCTAAAATGAAAAAAAATATATGAATCCTAAAAAAAAAAATAAAAAAAACCAAAAGAAAAAAATCAAATCTCTTTCAAAAAAAACTAAAACTTAAATTAAAAAATTCAAAAAATCTAAATTAAAAAATAAAAAATTAAATTAAAATTAAAAACTAAAAAAAAAAAAAAAATTGAAAAAAAATATATTGAAACATAAAAAAAAACACAAACTTACCAAAAAAATAAATCCTTTAAAAAAAATCTAAATCCAAATAAAATCTAAAACTTTCAAAAAAACTTAAATTTAATTTTCTACTTATTTTTTTTTATTATTTATATATTAAATTAATTTCTTAAATTTATTATAATAAACAATTGTGCTTTATTATTATAATAACTCATATGGAATTAATATATTTACAGTTATTATATTAACAATATTTATATTAAATATAGATTAATTGTAATCTATTATAACAAAAATTTAATAATACAAACTAATATTATAAAAACAAATTTATATTAAAATTTTAATTAATATTATTTAATATAGTATTTTAAATCAATATTAAATAATTTTTTTTAATATGAAACTTTAAAATATCAAAATTAAAGATCCAATTATTATATTTTAATATAATCTTTTAAAAAATTAATATAATTTATTATTGTTTTTTTTCCATAAATAAACATCATTTTTTTATTTGATATTGTATATAACAAGATATACATTATGAAAGAAACAACATTTTTTTCATTATTTTAGAAAAGTTAAATACTAGTTTGCCTACTTTACAATATCTAATTAATATTGAAAAAATTTTAAAAGCAATATTAAAGTGTTAGATAAAGAAGTAGTAACTATACTTACCTACTTGAAAAATTTTGTAAAATCTTTTAAATTTTGAAAATAAAATATAAAAAAGTATATAGTAAAAAAAAATATAAAAAAATTGAAGAAGAAAGTATAGATATAATTGGAGAAGAAATAATTAAAATAACTGAAGCTAAAACTAAAACAAGATTATATAAACTATAAAATTTGTAAAAGTAAAACTTATATTTTCTTGAAAAAGTGACTAACAAATAAAATATCTCTGAACCTTTTCTTCAAAAGACAGTCAACATACAAAGTATCTCTGGCTTTCAATAAAGTATCAATATGTAAAGTATTTTTAGACCCTTCTATAGAAAAGTGGCCAATAAATAAAATATCTCTGGACTTTTTTTCTTATAAACATGCCTCTCACTAATACAGATTATATAGTATAAGTAATATTATTTGTTATTGAAATTGCAATTGTTTGAATTGCTAACTGTGATAGTAATAGTTATTATTGATATAATTTTGTTTTAATTATTTTTATTAAAAATATATTTGTTTATATCAATTATTGTGTGGTGTACTCATAGTACCAGTTTGTTTTGATATTTGGTAAAGTTTGATTGGTTGAATCTGAAATGATATTCAGTTGACAAAAGTAAACTGATTATGGTTTTTTGGTGAGAAATTTTTTTTGTGAAAAATATTTTATTTTGATGATACAGCAATGTATGCTGAATAATATTAAGAAGTGAAAACTGTAAATATTGCTAGTATTTCAAGCCAACAATATAACCAATTTTATATAAAGTTTGGTTTTTTGAAAAAAATAAAAGTCAATAGAAAGAAAAATTCATTTATTTAATAAGAAATGTATTTTAATAAAAAGTGTAAATAAGAAGAACTTCAAGAAAAGCTTATAAAGAAACAACTGCTATGAGTATTTTCTTATGCAATCCAAAGAAGAAGCAAAGGCCCAAAACTTGCTTTTCCTTGGCCAGAGATTTCACTCTAATACATCAATGTACTTTTTTTAATTTTCTTAAGATTCTTGTATTAAAAATAAGAAAATTGAAAAAAACTTTTGAATATTTAAAGACAAAAAAAATATTATATGTGGAAAAGAGTTATATTTAATAAAATTTAAATTAATAAAATTTATATATTGTTATAGTGAAATACGACGAGTCTATCGCTTCTGTTTTGTCTATGCCATACTACGTTGGAGAATGGTTTCTCCTCAAAAGAGACATGTATATTTGGCTCGAGTTTAACAATGATGCAGGTCGATCCATCGATCGTGCGTCATAACTGCCAACCTCCTGCATAGTCACTCCTTTGTTTAGTGACACTCTCAAGATAGATAGCCTTTTTAGTATGCAGTGCCTATTTTCCTTGATTGCCATATTTTTATATCATCATCTTATTTTTATACTTTTTATGCCTGATATAATTTAGCCAGCTTTGGA